AGAATTTAAGATCTCTTATTCGTTCAGAAATTGTAATGTGGTCCGTTTTTACATTAACGCCTCTATGCCCGGCAACTTTTGTCGTATAGTCTAGTAGGCCTGCAACCAAAATTTTTAGCTTGCTTAGAAACACAGTTCCGCTACAAGGTCCTCCCTATTAAACAAACTATACATATTTGGAAAGCTTATAACACCAGGAACACAAATCCAATTAAAATGTTTTAAGGCCAGATGAAAATTGTGATAATTGTCAAGTAAATGTTATATTTATACTGACAATTAATAAGTTGACATAAAATTACACATATGATACCTAGGATAGGACAGGCTTATCTTTGCTCCGTGAGGTGAACGACGGGGTTCTCTACAACCAGGCTCGAAATTTCTTTTGAAAAAACTGACTGTAATTTAAATGGTACTTTCTAGAGTATATCCTGGTGTTTTTAGCTTATGCATATATCTTAATAATTCATCAAAAACGACATAAATTCATAACTACGCGAGAACATTGACTAGTTTAGGGACCCCCGAAACTACCATACCCCTTTTGAGTGTCCATCCCTGAAAAGGGAGGCAAAAGATATGATGTTAAAACGATAATTCATATATTTTTTTACAGTTATATATATATAAAAAAAATGTCTCCTTTTTATCCAATGGACAATTTATTGTTAGTTCATGTAGAAAGATATGGTGCTTATAAACGTGTTGCAAATTTCCGTATTACATGGTAGACTTCAACGTATCATATACACAATAGGTATTTATTTTACAAGTATAAAAATGTTTCCGTTTTATCGAATGAACAATTTATTGTTAATTCGCGTGGAAAGATATGATGATAAACATGTTACAACTGGTATATTAGTCGAGTATTTTACATTTTACAGAAAGTTTACGTTTAATCGAAAATTCCAATAAACAATTTATTTTTAAGTTGAGAGAGTGTCCTACAGGTGGTAGACCATATTAAATGCTGCTTGAATGTGTATTTTTATAAACTTTGTATGCATATAGATTATTATACTGAAGGTTCGTCTGGATAGAAAATAAGATTTTGTGTGAAACAGGTGTCCTAGAAAAAATGGGTTCACTAACATCAAATATCTGGTTCTACAAATTGTATTTGTCCCTTCTAAGCTAATACCTGTGCGGAACAAACCTTTCCGTTTCATCGAAAATTCCAATAAATAATTCAATTTTAAATTCAGTGGCTACGAAAACCCTATACATGATATATCTTCCATAGGTCCCTCCTAAGCTACAAAGACATATATACATGTAATATCAGGATAAATTTAAAATCATTAGAAATGCAATAGCATTTTAAAGTGGGGAGTTTGATAAGTCACTCCCAAACTTCAAAACATATACATTATACAAGTAGAAAATAGGAAGAACACTATAATTACACACAAAATAAAATAGAATGCAGTTGCAAGTTAAAAATAATAAGTATGTCGTCTGTTGAATATTATGGTTCCTTCAGTGTGCAAAATAAATGACTTTTCAGTTTAATCTTAAAATTTTCAACATTTTTACACATCTTTATATCAAAAGGCAGATTGTTCCATAAAAGACATGCAGAATAATGAAAAGTACGTTTCATGGATTCCGTTTTGCAATTTTGAAGAAAAAGAGATTTACTGGTCTGTGAACGGAGCAAGATATCCGTTTTGGAAACAAGAGATTTTTCAATAAAATAGAAATTTAGATAAAGTGGAGTATTAAATGTAATAATTTTGAATGCTAAGACAATTTTATTGTAAAGAATCCTCTGTGTAAGGGTAAGCCAACCGAGTTTAGTAAATAAAGAGGTGGACGGAGTTTCAATCGGTGCATCAAGAATAGCTCTTGATGCCCTCTTTTGTAATTTTAAAAGAATGTCTAATCTACTTTTGGTAGCATTTCCCCAAATAATAGAGCAATAATCAAATATTGGTAGTATGTAACTGTTATAAAACAAAATTCCTGTCTCGTAAGGTAAATGATGTTTTATCTTATTTAGGAGAAATATTTTTGATGCAAGTTTTTTTTTAGACATATCTGCTTTCTGTGCTTCCCAATTAAGGTCTTGGTCAATTTGAATTCCAAGTAATTTTGCGCTAGTAACCGTCTCAATTTTCTCACCATGGAGTGATAAAGTTAGGTTTTTTTCTGATTTCTTTCGTGTTTTGATGAAATCGGCATTGATTTTGTTTTCGAAGGATTGATTACCATCCCATTGTTTTCACACCATTTAGCAACCAAATAGAGATAATTTTGGAGATTATTGGCGATGGATTAAATATCTTTGTGTGAACAATGAAGGGTACTGTCATCAGCAAACAAATCTATCTGACTTGATTCAATATTGAGTGGGAGATCATTTATAAAAATAAGGAATAGGAGAGGACCCAGGATCGACCCTTGTGGAACCCCGCATTTGACTGTAGTAATTGAGGAGGTAATTGATCCTAAACATACTTTTTGCTTCCGTGAGTCAAGATATGATTCAATCAAAATTTGAGAATTATTATCAAATCGATAAAGATGTAGTTTTTCAATAATAAGCGTATGATCAATGAGATCAAATGCTTTGCTAAAATCAAGATACACTATACCACTCATCGCACCATTATCGATAGCATCAAGCCAATTATCTGTCATTCGGATCGGTGCAGTAGCACATGAATGATTTGATCTAAATCCAGATTGGTAAGCATAAAGAACATTGAAGGTTTCCAAATAAGTTTGAATTTGAGTGCTCAAGTGCCTTTCGAATATCTTTGAAATTGTGGGGAGAATTGAGATTGGCCTATAAATAATTGTTCGGATCATCTTTAGCTCCCTTGCGGTCATTTTGGACATCGGACAGAACCCCAACCGAAAATGACGTCACAGACGTGACAAAATCTCAAAATTGTCTTTAGGGACAAATTTTGACACAGAAACAACCCGTCCCCAAATATCGTTTCGATTGTGACACACTAGCTAAAAGTTCACTAAGTTTGTGCCCTGCCTCGCCGACGTTCAACATTTTAAATTTGACAGTCTACTTACGACTTTTGTTGAGTTTGCGGCCACCGCAGCTGTATAGGGAGGACCACTGGGCGTATTTATTTATGCTAATTGAATAACTTAAGAAGACCACACACATAATTTGGCTAAAATTACTCTGAACAGGATTTGGTAGTAAACTTATAAAATAAATCATGAAAACCTGGGAAAATAAAAATGCCAAAAGGTTGCTTTTTCCAGAATAATCTGTTGATTTGGAAAATATATGATTCATTCAACAACAAGTATCAAATAGCAACAGAAGAAGCATTTTCTTGTGAACATTGTGAGCCACATTCCATATCCATAGGTCGATCTTTTCAGGAGTTATGAAGGTTTCCCCGATGCGCTCAATTTCAATGAAATAACAGCAAAGTAACCCGGAAGTCCATCAACCAAATTTCAACACTTCAGCCACCAGGCTAACTGAAAATCATGGTTGAATTTATTCATCAAATTGGTAATGATGTTCCAAAATCCCAGGTCTGTCACATGGACTAAAAGGAGAATTCTGTGACACCGCGGTGTCGTTAAATAGATGAATAGGGTGACACTTATCTTATGCAGGACTTTCACGCTGCATATAAAACCTCAATGATCAATTGACTCTGGAACACTGTTTTGATAACTATATATATATATATATATATATATATATGAAATACGGGAAACTACAACATCTATGATAGTACATTATAAGTTAAATATAAGTTCTCTATCACTTAGAGCGTGTTCTGTGGCGCGAGCCATTCCGGCCTCTGGGTCGAGGCGGCTAGGAGCGCCAGTTGGTGTCTTCCTAGGAACCCCGGGTGACATCTCTCCCAAACTTAAACCCCACACGTTCCTTATAAAGAAATGAAATGAAATGAAATGGGGTTTAACGTCCTACTCCTTATAAAGAGGATATGTGCATGAGTCATGTACGTCTCCCGGAAAATTGGCCAGGTGCTTCCCTTGTCTGATTGGGCAGTTGCACAGAAGCTACCCTGGATTTGAACATATTGGTCTAATATGGGCACCAAAGGAGAGGAGCGGATGACGGGTGTCCACTTTTCTAAAGCGTGGGATTCTATATTTGTATAAGTGTTTCATTAACCTTATGTTTATAAAAGGTGAGCTATTTTGTATTCCAGAGACCTCCAATCCGATGTCTTATCGTAACATACATTTAATACCTCGAAATAAATGGTGGCAGGGACATCATTAACGTAAGAGGATATCCTTTAACACCCAATTTTTTTACCACTTCAATATATTAAACAGAACTGAAATTACTGAAATTTAGAGTACTGAAATAACCTCTACAGTGTATATAGTATTTCAATTTATATGTCTTTAAATTGACGTGATGAAATGAACGAACGTGTTATATTTTATAATCAATAGCCAGTAAAATCAATATTGATCTATAATTCCTTTACGTATGATTGATTTACTATAAATTTAATATGAGCTTCTGAAAGGATATCACGGAAATCTTAATAGGAAAGGGTCTTATACAGTTTCTACCGTGTGTACCTAACGACTTCTAGAAACTTTCAAAGTTTATTATACAGAGACTTAAAACCACATAATTATTACCAGCACAAGTATAATGGCGAATTGTACTAAAATTGTATTAATGCAAGCTGTAGAAACACGTCCAATATGAAATAAAATTATAGAATAAATTGTGTATTTACATGTAAGAACTTTACCAACATGTTTATATATGAATGCTATTTGTCCTCTTTAAATTCTTTTAGATAAGATAACTCATGCCACAAATTAAACCCTACTTAGTACACTTAGTATAGATACCTTTAACTATTTGTACGCGTTAAATATAATAGATATCTCGAATGGCTTTCTATATGTACATGATAATAAAGAATAGTTTTGGATAAGCCAATCTATATAGTGAATTTGTGAATGGTGTTGTTGTGAACGTGGCCCGTTATTTATTGAAAAGGCAATATATGAAAATAGAACCTAGTCGACTAGGTAACTACTACCTATCAACAAAGTCGCCATATTGATAAGGGAATATGATTTGAATGCTCGGTTTAAAACACAGGTCAGCAGATTCTATGAGAATAAAAGGGTATTTTTAAAAATCGAATGAATCCAGGTGAGTAGAATTCGTTCTTGGGTTATATTGACAATATCTTAATCTATAAACTTTTGAAAACGTACGTATTATGTATAAATTCGGATGTGCAATCTATAGCAATATTGTTACTTCCGAATATGTTAGCCTCTCTGAATTAAAATTTTATTTTTATTATTTTAAAAGTAAAAGAAAAGTACATGTATTTAATTTTAAAGTTAAATCTCCATGTCATGTCAGAATGTTAACAAAGATATCATTTTAAACATACAGGTCAATTAAATTGAAAATATTATTACATGCATAATAATACCACCAATGATATTATTTGACCCGAAATAATGTGCCCCAAGTTGCAAATACAATGTTATGTGAACTTGTTTTGAAATATGATTTCCTGTTTCAGATAAAATATAAAAAAGTATGGCCCACTACACTCCACGATATAACTCCTGTTACTATGTAAGTTGGGATTCAAAGATCACAGTTTTAATATAGTTTAGATTTGTTTAGTATCTAGTTTTATTTTAATCTGACGACCCTTTTAAATCTAAATATGTGTAAACTAATTAATTTGGTTATACATTCAAGGTGGGTGTTGCTTGGTTTTATATAAAGAGAATCTCCTGCTCGTCTTTTTTTGATATCAAAAAAGACGAGTAGGAGATTTTATCTATCACCCAATCCCTTCTTACATGCACAAATAAATAAATGTAATTCTTTGCTATAGATTTCACTTTTTTACTGAACCTGATTACATTATGGCGTAGTGATACATCATTTTTTTGACAGCAATTCAACTATTGCAAAGTCCTTTATATTGACCCAGTGTTTCCATCAAGGTCAATTAAATAAAAATAGTTCCTTTTTAATAAGAAAGAAGTTACTTTTAATAAATAATGAACTGTTCTTTGAAAATAAAAAAACACCAGTAGTTCCGTTTGATTGACCAATCAAATTCATGTAAAGCGATATCTCCTAAGGAGATATCGTAGTAGATTATGAAATTTATCACACAAGCGATATCTACTGTATTATTTGGTGATAAAATATATTCACACTTAAGTCAAGACCAGGGAGAACCAATTCTATTTAAGTTGATCTGGTGCATGCATTATTTAGATTACAGATGAGACAAATATTTTCGATTTAATTTTAGTTTTGAAATATTGATCGGAACACGATTTATTTACCAATTTTGGCCTACACTGTCTGCAGGTATAATCGCACATTGATCAGCAGTAAATATTCGCTAGGCCGCTAGAGGGATCATATCGGTGCGGGTTAATTAGCTCGCAATATTAACTTTTTTCTTTCTGCAAATTAAATTCTAGAGCATTTTTTTTTTGAAGTATTAGAAAAAGAAATAAATGTGTTTGAAGATATCTGGATAAAAATATTTCCTATTTAGTGTAAATGGGTATATAAAATGAGTAAAAGACACCACTCTGGCCGGACTAATTTAGTTACCACGCTCTATGTAAACAATGCGCGTGCTATGGAAGCCGTGTGATGTGACGTCACATATAGAAAGCATTTGAACTTGTAATGGTCAGTCATCTTACACAGAGTATGTATTTTAACACATGGGTTTACCTTTCGTCTCTCGCGTGGTCCTTGGACCTAAGATTTTAAATCCGCACATCAAATTTAATGAAATCAAGAATAATCACATTTGAATACAGATTCCAGGATACATGGACATTAATAAAGTTTCAGGCATAAAATGGTCGAATTTATTTTCTTTTCTCAAAAATCCTTTAGAATTGATATCTTTATCCTTCAGGATCACCAAGCACGACGAGATGTTTCACCTATACCTTTGTTTGCTAATGATAAATTTGGTAGATATGATAAATATGCCCAAGAGGTAAGTACAAACACACAGAATAATTATAATTAGACTTTTATTTTGTACCACTTTTATTTTCTGTTGGACTATAATTTGAGGAGTTAACATCTAATAACTTCATTAACAATGTTCTGACATCTTTAGGTCGAACTTTAGCAAATAAACACCGTGAAAATTTAAAAAATCAGTCTGGCCCAAGCGCCTCTTTTTTTCATTCTTCGGAATCATTATTTAAGTAGCGCAATATTAGAAATTACGCAAAAAGTACACAACAATTACAATACCACACTGCATTGTATGAAAGCATGGTGTATGAAATAAAGATCAAAGAGAGACAAATTGAACTCTTATTGTTGCACATTACTGTACTTTAAAGGAAACAACATGAAATATGAAAAAGAAACGACAAATACACACCATGCACTCTGTTTTTTACTTAGACTTCCGACTAATAATTTCATACACTAAAGTAAGCGACAATGTTATAACATTTATCATTTATTTGACAATACGACGATATTTAAGACCAGACTGATTAGTGAATCAATCTTTTTATTGTCTTTTCAAATTAGATTTGGGCCCAAATATAGTTTATCTATACTTTACTTCATGATTTATAATCTCTATAATATAGGGACAGTAAATAATTTGTAGTATTGTTTAAAGACCATGTATAAATAATGATTATATAGGTCATTGCCTACTCACAATATAAATTAGATATGCAGTGGTCAGTACTGTCAAAGGTAAATTGTTTAATACATAGGTTGTCATATCCTACGATATAATCGATTTGTTAGCCGAAATAAAAGCATAACTTTCCACCCCACTCGACAGGGGGTGGATTAACGAGGAATGCGTGCCATGTGTAACAATCACTTAACATTTATATAGAAAAAGGAAGACACAGAACTGCTGTTGCCCTAGAAAAACGTCACTGTCGTAGCAGGCACCATGGAAAAACAATGATTGGTTTAAAATGTGTGAAGTATGGTCAAGGCGTTAAATACTGCTCCATTCTGAACGTATTTAGCTTTTTGAATTGCATAAGATTATGTATTTTTATTTTACGGTCTACTTTTTATATGAATCCCAATTACAGCTATGGTCTCCACATGGATCACCGAGAGGAAGTCCTACAAGCTTTCGAGCAGAAGCTGGTTCTACATTCGACAGAAATACATCAGTAATATATAGTCCTACTTACTCACATATTCGCCCTATTGATTGGCAAAATATATTGATTCCTCGCTTTACTTATTAGAAATAGAGGTTTTTAAAGGAAATCAGGCAAACCGAGTTCGGTAATATACTCTTCAAAAAAAGTAGGGGATATTCAGAAACAATACAAAACTGCGGAAATGCACTGCTGTTTTTATTAGAGGTAACCAGTGTATGTTAATAACAGGCCAATTGCCTACACATGAAAATAAACAGTTCATGTGGGCGGCTTATCTGACGGTCCCATTTCACCTGCAAAGATATACACCGTCAAAAGTGAAAATGGACATTTTTAATTTTTGTCTTAAAGATACATTATGGAAGATTTTAATAGAGAGTTGGCCATTCTTGCTATAACAGTGTAAAAATAGATGATGAAAGAAGAATATATTGAAAATTTCAGTCAAATTAATTTATTCTGAACAAAGTTATCACCATTGTAATTTTTGACTAGAAATAGAGTCAACTCTCACTTCACCGTCTCCGAGAATGGTCGATCGTTTGATTGACAGGCGTTAACTCTACCTACATAATCTCGATTATTAAGTAACGTTTTCAATGGTTGTGGTACCGTTAGCCTATCCGGTTTGAGACGGGGTTGCAATTCAATTCGTATCACATTTATTTTTACTACAAATTAAAAATAAGACTTTTAATATATAGATAAGAAGCGAAAGTTTGAAAGGAATGGACCAAATCAATGAGGCATAATTATAGCCGACTTCTTATTAGCCTGCGTGTACTCTTGTACTGTAAGTAACTGGTACTGGTAAAAGTGGTAGGCCTACGTATCTCCCGAAGCAGACACATACTAATAGGAAACAGTGATCCAATGGGGCTGCAATTCAACTGGGGTGATGTGAGCTGCGATGTTTATCAATTTCCATAATTTTTCTGTAAACGCAAGTAACAAAAGTGCGTATAATACCGACTTCCAAACTCTCATTTTAACCACAACTAAACATAATATCAAGGCCGTATATATCGAACTTTCAATCAAATTGACTGACATGCGTCGTCCCTCAACAGCGGCCTTGCTTCGTTCACTCTATCATTCAGCCTCGATCTAAAATCTCCGGGAGTATGACGTCAACGTAACGGTTAATCTCCGCTTACGACGCCATTTAAAAATTTAATCAATCAATGAAATCCTGTTTAAATCCAAGCAGAATCCAAGCAATCCGTGGGTCTACAGAGTTGATTTTGTGCTTGTTGTGTAAATAAAGATCTAATTTATAATTTCTATGACATCTGAAGCCTAAATAAAGACTTGCAATAATCAGATTTAGCTCTTGCATAATGTATGTTTAATAATGATTAATTGCTCCACCAATCCTCAGACATTCAGCAATTCGTCGTGGCATGCTCCTAATCAACCGTTCAATCACGATTTGGGGCAATCTGACCCACTCCTCTTGCAGTGCCACGGCAAATTCTTGCAGTGTTATCGGTTGACGTTGACGTCGACGAACAAGTCTCCCGATCAAATTAAACGTAACACACTAAAGCAAAGATACGCTAAACAGTAAATCTTATGCAAGAACCGATAAGAAAGCAAACATGGATAGGATAAACCAGCAAGCGGCAGTTTTCATCAACCCCTCCCATGCGTATGGCGCTATTGCGTGTCGCAGACGCAGCTCAGTGGTTCTGTTGGGGCGATAAGTTCTTCATCTGTGAACATACTCTCAAAGCATGTCATGTGTCCATGACTATTTATTATATCACAACCTGCATAGGTATTTGCATTTCAATATCCCCTACTTTTTTTTTGTTGAGTATATATTCCCATTCGATTTATAGTCTCTCATTTCATCAAATTTGATTTTGGGGTCCAATAGAACTATTTTAGTGGAGTTTTGATGGTTTGAAAGTAAACAGTTAAAAAGTGAGGTTCCGTGTGTTAGCCCTTTTGTAGGAATCATTTTCTGGTCGTCTTGGCAACATGTCGACATTATATTGGAAGTAGGCTATTAATTATTTTGAGTCAAGCGTAGGCTATACTATCTTAGCTTAACTACATGTACATGGTAAGTAACACGATCTCCTAACTTGTTTCTTTATTTTTTCGTCTTTTTTGTTTTATGATGACATTGCCACTTTGTAAAGTGCACCTGAACACGTTTAGTTACATGAAAGGGCGCACTAGAAATATGTTGTAATAATGATAATAACTAGACCTACAAGCAGCACTGAACCGGTTTTCGGGAATCAGACAGGAAGAGTGTAATACAATAGCCAATTCATTGTGCTAACAAACGATACTTTATTTGTTTTGATTTAGTGACACCCGACGTAGAAATCGTGATTTTCACAAGAGACCTATTTTTTACTGTTTTTTCAAAATATCGGATATTTTTTCGACTACTTCCGGTTTACAGATCCTTGTTGGGATAGATTAAAAAGTGGCATGGGAACTTAACTTCTTGTACCAGAAGTTTCAGAAACATCCATTGAGCATTTTAGAAAAAAAAGAAGAAAATTAGAAGAGTATTTTTCGACTTTTTTTTTCAAAGATTGAGGTCCTTTTTGGACCTTTTATATCATATGGAGGCTTTTACATTTGGATTCAAAACCCTAGAACACCGATAGGACCCTCAGTAACAGTAGTTTCAGAAAGAAATAATATTATTTTTTGAGATAAAGAAGCGTCTGATTAGGCTCCATAAATGAAAATGCTAGATTTTCGGCGTCCCATAATCTATTGCCAAACCATCGAATTTGTAACATTTGGATGTCATAAGACCGTCCATTATTCGGGTTATCCAACTACATTTTAGTTGTTTTGATCAGGTGAAATCTGGCGTAGTAATCACGTTTTTCGCAAGAGCCCCACATTTTTTTTTTACATTTGACGGGTTATTTAAAATATCAGAATTTTGTCTACTACTTCCGGTTTTGGGATTATTGTCGAGATAGGTTAAACAAGTTGTTTGAATACTTAACTTCCTGTACCAGAAGTGTCAGAAACGTCCATTGAGTGGTTTTGAGAAACCAAAAGATAACTAGATCAGATTTTCAATAATTTAACGATTTTTCAACTTTTTTCAAAGATTGGGGCCCTTTTTGGACCACTTATATTATTTCAATGCTTTTATTTTTGGATTCACACCCTAAAACCAGCGAGAGGACTCTTGAGTAAGAAAAGTTTAAGAAAAATCGTAGGTGTCGTTTTCGAGAAAGGCGCCCCAAAAGGCTCCAAAACGGAAAATACTAGATTTTCGGCGTACCATAATTTATTTCGTATCCTTTATATGCCATATGATAGTCCATCTATGGGACTATCAAATGACACTTTAATTGTTTTCGTCCGCTAACTGTTTTTCGTTTTTTGGACTACTTCGGGTATACGAATCATTGTCGGGATAGTTTTAACAACCGGTTTGGGAACTTGAATGGTAGCAGGGCTCTATAATGATAAAATTCCCCTGAGAAATCCTATGTTCAAAAGTGCCAAAAATACAAAAATGTCAGAATATCGAAAATTAAATTTCAATAACTCAATACATATTACACATCGTTAGAATCTTAATTAGGTCAGCTATCTGAATGTATAACTTTTTAAAAATAAATCTGTTTAAATTAAAAAATAATAGAGCATTTTCCAAAATTTCACGATTTTTCGATTTCCAGTCCCTATTCCAGTTATTTCAAAGTCTTATTGGATGGCTTCATGCACATACTACCAAAGGGACTCTCAATAGAGAAAGTTAAAAAATAATCGTAGGTTAAGTTTTCGTGATAAAGGCGTCCAAAAACGCTCCAAATCTGAAAACTTGATTTTAAGTGTGTTATATTTTATTTTTTGTTTCCTGATACTAATATTCATATGACTTGGGTATCATAGGACAGTCCAATTTTCGTACCACACAACAATATCTTAATTTGTTTAATCCGTTGATATCGGACGCAGAAGTCGCGTTTTTCCTAAAAACATCCATGTTTCGCGGGGTTTATTTTTTAAAATGTCGGAGATTACAACTATTTCCGGTTTGCTTTATCCAACGGTTTGACCATATGGCTTTATGTTCCAGGAGTTTCAGAAACATCGATTAATCCTTTAAAAAAAATATAAGGGTTGGAAAATGGGCAGAAAATTCGAAAAATAAAGGGCGATAACTCTGGATGAAATTATATTACTTCAATCGGATAGACTTCAGGTATCCAAAAATGTAAGTCAAATTTGAAAATTTTGAAAAATAACAAAAATTGACCCATAAACAACGTGTTTTCAATTTTTGAACGATAGAAGTCATAGACGAATATTCGAAATTGAAAACTGTGAGATAACCTTTAGGCGTTTTTGTGAGTCGATTAGATTAGGTTTTGATTTGCTAGTACGATTTGGTATGATTTCGATTTGATTAGCTATGGTCCTAAAATGTGAAATTTGATAATTACGATTTGGTAAGATGGCTGCCATCACGGACACCGATCAGAAAAAAAAATTGTCTCTGCTAACATGACGAGGGGGGCGTGTGTTTCACGTGTAGTCCAAGTTACCTACAGATTACAGTGACACTGCTGGCACCCAGAGGGCCTAAAATTGCTTAGAGCCAGAGGTGATCTAACATTCTTGTGGACTATAAAGTTAACATTAAAGGAGCTAAATCGCTAACATTTGGGACCTAGAAATTGACAAAAGTGGGTCGCAATGCATATAATACTGTAATATGAATGTATATAAACTGATTTACATTCAATGGTTTCCGTTTTTACTCCAATTTCAAATCCGTTATGTTCGGCGAAATAAGCCAGCATTCTCAAGCGAGTGCAAATTTCTAGCGTCTGGTTATTCCAGTTTACATAAGCCGTTTGATTTGGTGCAATGTGTCTAGCCTCGTCCCTCGAGTCTCTTGATACAACTAGGGATGAAGCGCATTATGGTACACGATGTTTATTTTGTCTTAAATATTGGATATCAAAAGCCCATCTTTTCCCGTTAAGATCACAACATGAAGGTTG